TATATATATATATATATATATTTCTTTAAGATATAAGAAACGGCACCACGTGTGATGTCACCAATATGACACTGAAGTTCTGTACAGTCGATAAGTTAGATATGGAGGATGAATTAATCCTGGCTGACTAGTTTTGCTCTTAATCATATGCTTTAAATGGGGAGCTCTACGCTTTCAGCGTGTGGTCTTGGACAGAGAAACTCCCCTCTTTCCAGGCAGGAGCAAAAGATCAGACGTATGGCAAGATGCCATACATCATGATTGCCATGACGCCAGCGCTGAATAAGCCAGCTACAGGAACAGTCACAAACCAGGCTAAAAAGATATTGCGGAAGAGATGCCAGTCCACTGCCTTCTTGGATCGTATCCAACCAACGGACACCACGGAACCAACCTTGGAAATTTGAGAAGAAAGTTAGAATTAAATGCATCATAAGGTAGGTAATAAATGTCTACGACGAGGGGTACACAAATTTTTCATCACCCTTGGTAACCAGATAATAAGCAATAATTATCATATGGCATTGTGCGTAGAACAGTCAGGAGATCCTAAGATTGTCTGGCAGCCAGAAGTTCTAGCTCTTTTGGCATTATGCACCACTAGGTGGCGAGCTAGACTTGTTTTTAAGGCAAGAGACACTTCAGAGGTGGCTTGCCATTCCCTGTCTCTGCGTCACGACCCTGGTATTCCTTGGGGGTCGCCCTTCCAAATACTAGCCAATCCTGCTTAGCTTCTGAGATCTCCCTTCCCTGCCCCAAAGCGTTCTAGTTGTGTCAATCTTTCATTTTATGATGGGTTTTAATGATGCTCAGAATTGGCAGCACAGGTCACTTGCTGCTTTGAAATGTCTCCAGAGCTCAGTGCAAAATGAGATTGATCCTTCCCACGTGTCACATGCCACCAGGAACAGTGACAGACTGTTCTCCACTCCAAGGTCTCTGTAATGCACAGAAAATGTGAAGGAGAGCTTTCTCCCACTTTGTGCTTGGGCAAGTGGTTTAGCCACCACTGGTTACCTGGGGACTGCATTCGTGGACCCCTGTCTATGACCAAACCAATGCCAGTCAACTGATGCCCAGAATCTAACAAAAACATCTGAAATAGCTAGCTGCCAAAATCTGAATTTTTGCTTGCGTTCCACACAAGGAAGGATCTCTATGATACTGCAGCACACACGGAGAACCAAAGGGACCAGGGACGGCATAAGGAATTTAGGAAGTGCCGTCACAGACAGTCATTTTAGAGCCTGCCTGAAGTGGATCTCTGGAGAAAGGAAGGGAAGTTCTCCAACGGTGCATACTAGCTCATTCCACCCCTCACACTCTTCTCCACAAAGGATTATCGTTTCTCTCCACTGGCATTCCCGCTAGCGTCTTCATCCATTTTTCCTCCTAAGCACATATCCATCTGCATTCCCACTCCTCCAGGAGGAGGGACATGGAGACGGACACATGCCAAGCCTCTCTCCTGCTTGCCAAGGACGGAACGCAATCGGCACCAGGGGCCTCCAGCTTTGTGGCGCTTGTGGGCACTTTGAAGCACCTGGACAGAAAACGCCTGCTGTGGGGGGGGGGGGGGAGGGTCCAAAGCATTGGGGGGTTTCTTCTCTGCCGG